TATATATACAAATTATTTAAAATACATGTCGTCTTCTACTGTTGCATTATATACTAACTCTTCAAGGTTGCGTTTCAACCAATTTAACTTGTAATACTATATTATAACTTATTTTACTCTATTTTGGATATCCTTTACCGGCAACATTGTGCTTATGGAAATAAATTTATAAACCCTAAGAATCTATCAACTTGAAAAAATAATTTTACTTATATGATGAATTTGAATAAAAAAAACTAAATTGATTTTTTTTGCTAATTATCTAAATCAAGGACTTAATTATCTGTTCTAAATAATTTAGTTCTTGTCGATTATTGATAATCAATATGGAAACATGTAAATTTATAGTAACCGTAGCCAATTTCATGTGAAATTGCAACTCTACTTTAGACCCCAAAGCCTCACATGGCTCAAACTTCAAACAAGGAACGGGTGTTTTAAGGTAAAATTTATAAAATTTTATATGTTGCAAATTTCAAACAAGAAAACTATTTTTATAAGGAAATATTTAACAATTAAGATTTGTAGTTGATTTTGTTTTAAAGTCTTAAATATTCGAAAAATAATTAAATGACTATTTTGTCTAATGTGAACTCTATTTTAAAAGGGTAAAAAAGGCGAACGACCTTTCGCTAAGGGCCTTCGTGCTTTTAATATAGTGTGTGTGTGTGTATATATATATATATATATATATATATATATATTTCCTTGTGTATATCTTACGTTCCCAAATTTTCTGTACCCTCCTTAGGGTTGTATGTCTTCTATGAACTTAAATCTATCTGAATCAGATCAAGCCATTTTGGCTCATCTTTGTGGAATTCATTATGTGGAGCTAATGCTTGAGTCCCTCTTATTATCTGATGGTGCTTTCGTTGCTCATTTTTCATGGCACATTCTTGCTTTTACTCTTCTTCTAGGATTTTCTAATTATCAGTTTGTCACCCTGGATTATCTAGTCTCGTTTCTTCTCTTTTTGCCTGACTTGAAGCAGTAGTATTTCTACTCTGTCCGAGATATGATTCACTTGCTGGATCTCACTAAAGGTGCTAATCATCCATTGGCAGAATATTTCCACAATAAGTTGGTGGAGACCATTCAATTCATGGAAATACTTAATCTTAAGGACAGTGTAGAAAAGGACACTTTCTTCCGTAAGCTTCCAAATCTTGCAGAGCAACTTCCTCGAGAAATCGTGCTGAAGAAGGTAAACCTTTTTTCTTCCATGAAAAATTTGAGTGTGTTAAATAAAGCAAATAGAAAAATTTACTCATAATAAATAAATAATTAATGGAGCAAATATAAAACTTCTCTTTGCAGTTACTTCCTCTGCTGGCTTCTGCATTAGAATTTGGTTCAGCTGCTGCTCCTGCTTTAACGGCGCTGTTGAAAGTGGGTTCTTGGCTTTCAACAGATGAGTTCAGTGTCAAGGTTGAACTTTTTTCTTGCTCTTCCCTTTTCCCAACATTACGTACTTTTTACATCCAGCGCAGTGATCACATCTTCTTTTTGGAGTTTAGTTTCTGTTTTAACTTATAATTTGAACTGTGTGCATCTATAATAGGTACTGCCTACGATCATAAGACTTTTTTCCTCCAATGATCGGGCTATCCGAGTTGGTCTTCTGCAGCACATTGATCAATATGGGGAGTCATTATCTGCACAAGTTGTTGAGCAAGTGTGAAAATATGAGATGAATTGTGGCTATTTTTTTTTTCCGAGAGCACAATTGTTCTTACTTGAAGGGACACCCTTAATAAGTAAGAATTTCTTATCACTTTGATGGTCAAATTGCCTGACACAGTTTTTTGATCAGGTTTATGCTCATGTGGCTACTGGGTTCTCTGACACGTCTGCTTTTCTTCGGGAGTTGACACTTAAATCTATGCTTGTATTGGCTCCTAAGGTGCGTACATCCTGCATATTGGTCCTGCACTTTTGTTCTAACATATAAGCACAAATATCCAGTAAGTTGACATAGCTGTGCGGCGCTTAAATCTATACTTGAACTGGAACATGCCACTGTACTTATGTTTGACTTTCCTTATGGAAGTCTGATTACTGATGTTTTATATGCACTGGTATATTTCTTAGCATTTGCATGTTATGCTATAGTGCTTATAGTTTCTTAGATTGGACATCTATGAAGAATATCGTGCTTCATAGTGGTTGAGTAGTACCATATAGTGTTACTGTTAATTCCTAGTATCACGCTAACTAATGTATTTCCAAAATTTATTGCAGCTCTCACATCGCACGATATCGGGATCTTTGTTGAAATATCTCTCTAAACTACAGGTGTGAAGTGTACAGGGAAAACTACTACTCTTCGTTTCTATGCTTTAATTCTTTGCTTCATAGTGTTTGAAATATCTGTTGAAGCTACAGGCATGTGTCATACTGCAAAACTTATCCTTCTTGTCTAGGCTTATTTCTTTGCTTCTTAGTTTTTGCTCTTCTATTTGTGGCGTGTGTAGGTTGATGAAGAACCAGCAATTAGAACAAACACCACTATATTGCTTGGAAATATTGCCAGTTACCTTAATGAGGGAGTAAGGAACTGTGTCTTGATTCTCATACTGCTCCAGAATTAAAAAACGTGATAACGTTTCAAATGCCTGCTGGCTTTTTACTAATGAAAGAGTTTAAAATAGATCCTATCCTTCCCAAGATGTGTTTTACTTCTAACATGATAATTAATGGAATTTTCTGCCTGTAGACAAGGAAAAGGGTGCTAATAAATGCATTCACTGTTCGTGCCTTGCGTGATACATTTTCACCTGCCCGAGCAGCAGGTAGCACCATATATGCTTTGCATTCAACCTTTTTCTTTGACAAGCTAATGATAATATTCTTGAGTTTAATTTTTCCAGAGATTCTTTATTGTTCATTTCCAGATTCCTTTGTTTGTCGCTGCTTTCTCTTCCCTTTTTTATCCTTGTTCCTCTCTCTGTAATAATGGATGTTAAATTTTAATATGGTGGCAGGTGTCATGGCTTTGTGCGCTACCAGCTCTTACTATGACGTGACTGAGATTGCAACCCGCATTTTACCTAATATAGTTGTACTTACCATTGATCCCGACAGGTATTCTTTTCTTAAATAGTTGCATTTACTGCTTTGTGGAAACTTGTCCTTGATAAGGACGTAAGATATCTGATTTCACATGGAATCTGTTTATGCTAATTTTAAGAACATTTCTTTCCGGGATTACTTTACAGCTATGCCTCAATCTCTAGTTGGGGTCAGCTATATGAATCATCACTATCCATTTTGTTGTGTTTGAACTCGTTTCTTTCCAATATTCAGAAAGTGCCACTTTCTGGGATTACTTTTGCTCTCATAAAAATTAAGAAGTTTTTAAGCTTTGCTGTTACTGATACAATCACAGTTAAGGAGCTTGCATTAGCAAATAGATCAGTGTCAATGCACTTGAACTCCATGGCGTTGGTCCTCTGTGGTTTAGGTGAATTGAACTTTCGTGTTTGTAGTAGGCCTCATTTTTTTCTGATTGGTAATAGTAGGCCTCGGTTTAGGCTATTGGACCGCTGTGATTGCCGGAATCCTCATGGTTGATAGTTCGATGGATGCTTAGGCTGACAGATTCAGCTATCAAGCATTGCATGTTAATGGTTTCAAACATGATTAGTTCCATTGCTGTCTGGATAATTTATGTGCATTTCTATATTTTAAAATCTTTCAAAAAGTAAGAAATGCTTGTAGTTGTTAGAAACTTTAGGTTTTATTACTTTGTGGAGCCTATTGCTCGTCATAGTGCAAATGTCAAACTCAATTTACAGATAGAAGACTGAAGACTGTGGTAATCCAAATATCTGCCATTTGTACCGTTTGTTTGGAATCTTTTCCCTTCCAAAACTGGAATCCAAGATAGTGCATTTTGTTTGTTTGTCGGGGCTTTGTTCTTAGTTTCTGAATGCTTTTTTGTGTTTGAGTTGCTTTGTCGGATTAGATGTTATGCTTAGTTGGAAAAGTTGTTCTGATTATTTTCTGCGCATATATACTCTATCATCACTTGTTTCTTTTCAATGAACAGTGATGTTCAATCAAACGCATTCCAAGCAGTTGATCAGTTTTTGCAATTAGTCAAGCAGCACCATGAGAAGGTATTAATGTATTTTTTTAAAAAAAAAAATCACTTGCACATTAGATGTCCCAACTTTAGCCTTGGGTTGAAAAGCTTGCTTTTTCTGAAGCTGTGTCGGAGCTTGAGAAGAATTGTTTTCACCTCTTCATACAACTTGGGGATTATTTGGCATAACTGAAAAGAAGGAAAGAAAGCTTCTTTTCCACTTTGACATTATAAAACTTGGATGATATGTGGCATGACTATACTCTAGTCCTGTTAAAAGAAGCTGTGTCTTTCTTTCTTGTTAATTCATGTTACCGTAAACTGATGAGCGGGAAGTAGAGTTCTGCCACTTCTTGGGTGCCCTTCCCAGCTTATTAACTTTAAAATTAAGTAGCTTCTCATGAATTTTTCCGTATTTCGGAATACTCAACACACATATTTTTGTTTCGGATTAGAAATGAACATTTACGTCCTTCGCTTTAGTTTGTATATATGTTGTGATGGACTGATTTGGAGCCATTAAGAATGAAGGAAATGCTTTTGTCGCATAAATATTTAACATTCAAAAGTTTCCATACGATTTTCTGGCTTTCAACATGCCATGTCATTCTTATAAGAGCATGCCTTTAATGGTAAAATGAAACATAAAAAATTAGAGTACCCAATTGTGGAAATGTGTCAATCTTTTCAGAACAGACCAAAAATGAAAGTTTCATATAAAATGGAACGTATGCCGGAGGGAGTATGCACTTTTTTCTGTTCATAGTTCACAACTGGGTGCACACCCTCTTATATATATATATATATATAAAAGAAAGATTCTTGAAACAGATAAAATATATTTACATACCAAATGTTTCCTTACAATTTTGTGGTTTTCAGCATGTCATGTAAGTATGACATGTGCTCTCAGTTGTGCTCTCTTGCCCTTCCCCTGTGAATTTTGTGCCCTCATTTGTGTTTTGTCCTCTCTAGACTAGCACTGGAGATACCAGCACTGCAAGCATGGGAACTTCTTCAATGCCTGGAAATGCGAGTTTGCTAGGGTATGTAAAGATTTGAGCAATTTTTATGTGGTCATTTTGCTGCTATTGTAAAATAATTGCTATACGTTGCATTTCGGCAAACAGCAGCAACATAATCATTTTTATCATCAGTTCCATTTAAAATTCGTCCGCTAAGCTTTATCCGAATTTGACTATAGTTATCTCAGAACTTCTGTTAACTTGTCATGATGTGAAAATTTAGAGGGTGTTAACAAAGCATTAAAATATTGCCACCTTTGAACTAATACTAAAGAATATTTTGAAGAATTGTTGAAGTATGTATGCGTTGTGATTATGGGAGCTATATCATTTACCCTTTTCATTCATCAGTTTTTCAAATTCCTTTAAGTTTTCAATAATATGGCCTGAATCTCATATTGCAGTTGGGCTATGAGCTCATTGACTCTTAAAGGCGGTAAATCCTCTGAGCAGAGTCCAAATGCTCCAGCTTGTTCAACTGTGCCTCCTACTTCTGCAGTCCCCGATGCTAGCTCAAGTATGCATCTTACAAGTTCATTTATTTTGCATTTTGCTTCAGGAGTTGGTTGATAATGAAAGATTATCTTCGTGTTGCTTTGTTCAAATATTGATCATATGCCTATGAGGATGAATTCATCTCCAACTTGATACTGGTTTCTCCAAATTATAAACATTTGCAGATAGTTCGGGTATAACACAAATTCATGTAAGTTCTAGCAACGATATGACAGATCAGCCTTTGCCAGTATCCCCAACATCAAATGATGGATGGGGAGAACTTGAAAATGGAATTCATGAAGGTCATGACAATGATAAAGATGGTTGGGATGACATCGAGCCCCACGAAGAGCCAAAACCATCTCCCGCTCTAGCAAATATCCAAGCTGCTCAAAGACGTCCGGTCTCTCAACCAAAACTGCAAGGTAATGATGATGTCTATTAAACTATGTGATCCAGTAGAGGCTTACGTTCTTGGACAGTAAGCAGGGAAGTCAGTTCAGTTACATGTATAGCTGAAAGACACACACACACACACGCACACACAAAAAAAAAAAAATATCAAAATTAGACGAGGGTGATGAACAAGGAGATTCTATCACTGCTGGAACTCTTGATTGTATCTTCAGTGATATTGCCCATCAGAAACTCAGATTTAACTAAATCTCGAAATCCTCTTTTCCCCTTAAAGGAAAATGGAAATCCATTACAAGTAACAAACTTAGACAAAGAAAACCAGGAAAAAACTGGAAGCAGATTACTTGTGTGGCTATTAGATCAGGCTAATTTCTATATTGTTTTTCTTTTCCTGAGTCTTACGATATTTGCTTCAGTTACAGGTTTGCGAGGAAGCATCACACCAAAGGTAACCAAAAATGAAGACGATGACCTGTGGGGATCTGTACCTGCTTCTGCTCCTGCTCCAAGAACCAGTTCTCAGCCATCAAGCTCTAGAGCAAGTAGACCAGTTGACGATGATGACCCGTGGGGTGCCATAGCTGCCCCAGCTTCTTCATCGAAGCCTTTGAACGTGAAAAAAGGCGGAGCACTTGATGATAATGATCCTTGGGCTGCTATTGCAGCTCCTGTACCAACTGCTAAAGCCAGACCTTCAGTTGGCAGAGGCCGAGGAAACAAACCTACGGTTCCTAAATTGGGTGCCCAAAGAATAAACCGAACATCATCTGGAATGTAGATTACAAAATCAAAACTAGGCTCAACAGTGAAATAAGATTTCACTAGTCTTGTAAAATTTTCCCCTCATCATGTCAGTAAAAGTTCTAACTGAAATATAATTGAGAGTTGTATCTATATTCCCTTAGTCTGAACACTGTATTCTTTGCGCAAATTCATTGTTGCAATTCTTTGTAGTTCACGGAAGTCATTACATGCGATTTCAACTTGAATTAGCAAATTTTTGTATTATTTTTTATCAGTTGCAACGTACAGTAAGAGTGTATTAACAATACTCGAACAATATCAAGTTATCAACTAAATGTTAAAGTACCTTAAATTGGGGTGCTCATTGGATATTCAGGAAATACGAACTTTACTTTGGTATTACCAGTTGCTTTTAATATGAGATAATCGGATTTATAAGATTGACATTTGCTCAATCNAAAAATTGAAAAAAAAAAAAAGAAAAAGAAAAATTCGTCCATACTAATCACCCTTAATTACAAAAATTCCAAGAACAGGGGAAGAAAATGGTGTAAACAATGTGTCAACATCTACATATTGTTTTTGTCAATTGCAACTTAAAATAAATGGCTGCTTCTACTAACCAAAGTTTATTGCAATTTTTAATTTCCAATTCCAACTCAACCACCCATGTGAATGCTATTCTTATTATTTAGTCCAATTGGAATAGCTGTTTTTAACGGATAAAAAAAGACCAGGCTAGCCAATATTGCAAAATGTTAAAATAGCTCAGAACAAGTCTCAAATTTTATATAACTCTTTTCCAGTTCAACTAGGAACAATACTCCTACCAGCTAAGCACTCTCCCCTTTTATAGGTAATTCTCAATCTTTGCTTTCTTTAAATAGAGTAAGATCTCCAAAGAATTAGACAAAGAAAGAGGAAGCTCATATAACAAGGTATGTTATATGCTCTTTTGTTGATTTCTTGATCTTTGCTCATTTAAGTTATATAATATGGGGTTTGATATCTTGAAAACAAGACATGTTATATTTTACAACAAGTAAAAATGACTTAGGGTGTGTTTGGTATGTAGGAAAATATTTTCTAATTTTTCCATATTTGGTTGGATTAAATATTTTGGAAAATATTTTTTTCGGAGGAAAATGTTTTTCCTATCAAAAGAAGGAAAAATATTTTTCAAAATTCTTCTCCATAAACTTTGGTATTTTCTTTTCAACCTTCCCCACCCTATTCCCCATCCCCACCCAAAATTCTTTTCAACCTTCCCCACCCTATTCCCCATCCCCACCAATCCCCCCCTCCACACCCCACCCCACCCAAATATTATTAAGAGTATTTTCTTTTCATGTTGTAGATAGAGTACTTTCTTTTCAATTTCAACAAAATGATTGTTTTTTTCATAATGTAAAAAAAAATTTCATTCATTTCAACAAAAAAAATATTTTCTTTTCATGATATAGAAAAATATTTATTTCATTTCAACAAAAAAAGTACTTTCTTTTTATGACGTAGAAAAAAGTATTTTCTTTCATTTCAACAAAATGATGTAGTAAAAAGTTTACTTCATTTCAACAAAATGAGTATTTTCTTTTTATAATGTAGAAAAAGAATTTTTCTAATTTTAACAAAATGAGTACTTTTTCATGTTGTAGAAAGAGACCTTTTTTCAACCAAAAAAATAGTATTTTCTTTTTAGTTATGTAGCACAAATTTCAACGTTATTTTTGCTTGAAAAAGTAAAACATCACATTAGTCACTTTGGGTTTGTGTGAATTTTTAAAAGAATAATTAAACTATTAAAGAAAATAGAGTCCTCAAAACATTGGGTATTTGTTTATTTTTTTTTGGGGAGGGGGAGTAAAGTAGCATAAAAAATTATTTTCTACTCTCTAAACAAACACAAAAAAATATTTTCCGGAAAAAGTTTTTCACCTATCAACCAAACAAGACTCATTTTCCATGAAAAATATTTTTCTTCGTACTAAACACACCCTTAATGGTGTAAAAATTCCTTATGTTGATGGTGTATATAACTTAAACCCGTTATATTTTACATGTCGAACAATGAGCAATCAATAGTTTTGTGTATCATTCAGGTGAAACAAGAAGAGATGGTCCCTTAGTGGCATGTTGTTGCTGCCCTTGTTTGCTAGTCGGCTATTTCTGTTCTATCTTCATTCAGTGTCTTGGATTAGATGAACACATCCACCATTATTAAAATAAACATTTGTTTTTGAGCCTTGAATGCATAATAAGACTTAAGTTTGGATGACTGGTGTAATTCACGGTTCGAATTTTTCTAGTCTATTGTTATTTGTTATTTTTTATAATGATGATGTTCAAGTCAAACTCTCGCATGCATGCATCTTAACTATTTCAGAGAGTACGTGTCGCCTTTCACATGTTTGCCTTTTTTTTTGAAACCAAAGATATGATNGCGAGATCAGATCGACTACTCTACTACCATCATTCCGAAGGTTTTTTTATTCAAAAGGACGGAGAATAAATAGCTTATTCATAATCTTATAGGCCCCGCACCGCTTCATTCAATTGCTCTGTCATAAAGAAAGGGAAGGAAATCTTTTTTTGATCAATCGCCTGAACCTGCCTTTCTTTCTTTGCCAGGAGGGGTGGCCCAATCACTAATAGATCTCTCAACGGGAGCCTCATTCTGTCTAGAGGTGACAATTTCTCATTCTATTGGATCGTTGTGAGTCCCGTTGACTGAGATTGGTTCACTCCGTCCTGCAAGGGGCTTTGGAAAGATAGTTCGCCAGGTCTGTCTATTTGTATACATTGGCAAGAGAAGCCTAGGTACCCATTCGCCGGAGTGAGGTTTGAAGATGCTCGAGCGAAGCGAGAGGATGGATCAAGAGAAGACCAGGTCTGTTGTGGACTGGGAAGTGCCGAAGAAGGAGAGAGCAGGCAGCAGTGGTGAAGCTGGATGCTCGAAGTCATTTTATAAAGAGATGTTATAAGAGTAAATTTCATAATATACAACTACAATTGAAATCACGTTTTGTACAATAATTGTATTCATTTCATAAAATTAAATATCTACAATTAGTATTCAAAATATGGCAGAATCCCTACAATTAAGGAAACTGACTAATTGTCAAATCAATTCAAACCTAAAAAATCTCCATTTAGTTAGATATTAATTAACCAATTATTAAGAGATATCATATGTCATTTTTGCGCAAATCACTTTGTAGATCTCCTCGTTAGAGCTTTCTGCTGTTGTTTGTTCATAGATAATTTTTCACATTTTGCAACTTCTTGCTGATGCTTTTTCCAACACTCATATCCATCACCATCTTCACAATGTTATATATATATATATATATATATATATATATATATATACACACGCACTATATATATATAGTACGTATATACAATATGTACAAACATTAATTAACATTTTGCTAAATTCCAATCTACCTTTAACTTATAATATACTATATACACATATATAAGTATATAACATCATGTATATAGTATATAATATACAACAACAACAACAACAACCCAGTATAATCTCATTAGTGGGGTCTGGCGAGGGTAGTGTGTACGTAGACCTTACCCCTACCCTGGGGTAGAGAGACTGTTTCCGATAGACCCTCGGCTCCCTCCCTCCAAGAACTCCCACTTTGCTCTTGGGGTGACTCGAACTCACACCCTCTTGGTTGGAAGTGGAGGGTGCTCACCACTAGAGCAACCCACTCTTGTCATATAGTATATAATATATTATATATAATTATATATTATATATAGTAATTGTGGGAGGAGAAGTTTGGTGATAAGACATACAATAAAGGAATTTGACAGAATGGTTCATGCTCTATTACAATTAACTCCAGTAAAGTAATCTGGTATAGTGTTTCTAAAGAAATCATATGTCGTCAGAGCTTGTTATGTATTTCAGAGATGGGAGGAGAAGTTCTGTTATGTTCTTGCCTGGACAATTGTGACAACGAACAATCTTATTATTCTAATCTAATGTCAATCTCACATTTAATGATTTTGATGGATATACGAATTGAAAAATCTATTCTATTATATACAAACTAGTATTAGTACCGCGCGGATGCGCGAACACTAATCATGTCAAATATTTAAGTTATTTGGATTATATGTAAATAATCTTAAAATTTAAACTTTCTCAGTAAATATAGATAATCATTGGATATTAATAATAAACACTACATGAAAAAAATTAACCATTTTTTCTATTTTTCTTTTTTGATACCATTCTCGCCGGTATCATTGGATCCTAAAAATAGTCAAGAAGCAAAATAATAACTCATATTTATGGCAAAACAATCAAATATTGAGACTATGAATGACTCTTTGGATATGACTTGCCTTTTTTACTACTACTTAAACTTTTATTTCGTGTCACGACCCAAAATTTTAACCAGTCGTGATGGCGCCTATCTCAATACTAGGAAAGCCGAAATCTCAATGAACCATAACTTCTTTCAAGTCTGAAAATATAATATTTAAATAACATCCACAAATCTTACAATTATCGATATAACCACTCCCAAAACCTGGTGTCATTGAGTACATGAGCATCTAATTATGAATATAAGTCTGAAAAATACGGTCCGTAACAGTCTGAGACCAAATATAGTAAATAAGGAGATAGGGAAGGAAGGAGAGGCAAGGTCTGCGAAACACGACAGCTACCTCAGAATCTCCGAAAAATCAACTTTGTGAAAGAATCAACACCCGCTATGTCCGAGAATATCTGGATCTGCACACGAAGTGCAGGGTGTAGTATGAGTACGACCAACTCAGCAAGTAACAAAAATAAATAAGGAACTGAAGATAGTAACGAGCTACACAGTTATGGTTCATTTCCAGTAATTCCAGCAAAGAATAGACATGCTATCAAATCTGGCAGTTTAATGTCAAATCAATTTTTATACAGTTCATGTTCATGTAATCCGTATATCAAAATCTTTCAGAGATTTCACAACAATGACAGATAACAACTAAGTACAACAACAAATGAAAATCAAGTACAACCTCTTAGGACAACAATCACTCACTAGGCTCTCAACCCTCATTACTCCCTCGGCTCCCAACCCTCATCACTCACTCTCAATGGGTACCCGCGCTAACTGGGGGTGTACAGACTCCGGAGGGGCTCCTACAGCCCAAGCGCTATAATCTACACGGATAACTCACGTGCTATAATACAAATATCTGGATCCGCACGGCCAACTCACGTGCTATAGTATAAATATCTGGATCCGC